CATAATTATTATATCATTTTTTACGAATGGTCCTTTGTTAAAATTTTTATTATGAACATGGATAAAATTGTATGTACATACTTCTCACTCTCCTCAATTAAGCTTCCTCTCTCCTCTCGTACTCTTTCCCAAACTCGTCGCTGAGTTTGAAGCTTTAAATCCAAAACTGAAATGATCACTCTATCCCTTCAGTTCAATATTTATTATTTATACATTGTAATAATAATGTTTGACCAAATGCCAAGGGATAGAGAATAATACACAACAGAAGAGGGATATAGATGGTTGATGGGGCAAAGGAGAAAGGAGGACTGGATCTCTTTTGCTTGGAACAAATTATCATGCCTTAAGCATTAGTTCTTTGCCTGGCTAATCTGTAGAGGAAGAGTGAAAACAAAGGCAAGGCTGGGGAAATATATACTGCCTCCGTCTGCAAATAAACTTTACATTACGCGTTACGATGTTTGACTGAAGTTATTTTCAAATCATTTTATATGAAAAATGGTGTAGAATTGAAAAATAAAAATTACATATTAAAAAACTATATCAAAATATCTACAAAACTAGAGGTGACATGACTATATTATTTTATCAAATGGGCGACAAAAATAGGCCAACAAAGTGAATAAAGTTTGACTATGTGAATAGTGAACGTAAAGTTTATTTGTGGACAGAGGGAGTACCTATTAACATGATGTGTGATCTATGTAAGGGCAGGAGGAGGATGCTGATAGCACTTGTCCTTTCACTAAATCGCTGCTTATGAAAATCTCTGATTGGCTGGAAATTAGGATTGAGGGAAATAGTGTTCAAGAAGTTAGAGAAAATCTGATGAGAGTAAGGGGAGAAGAAGAGATAGAGGCATTAGTGCTTTTGTTGTTGATCAATTATTAAACATAAAATATAAATTAGGGATTTAATCATGTGTACCTGATAATCCTGTAAACGTAGTTAGGGATGAAGCCGTGATTCTCACGCAGATCGAGTTCCCGTTTAGGGTGTATCGTTATCATGGCTAAGGTGAGGATGAGACTCACGAGAATAGAGAGGCAGAGAGGAGGCGTAAGATTGGTGTGTCTTGATTTCTTCCTAATGACCTCTATATATCCACCCAAGGGGAAACCCTAATTAGGTCATAAGGGCAATTACGTCCATCGAATAATTACCAAATAAATACGTAGGGTATTTATTAGGTCAATGATCAATTAATTAGATAAATGATAACTCATGCCACATAATAAAATCGTGTCTAACATTCTCCCACTTGGCCGAGTAATCATTTATGATGAGTATTAGATAAGTCTGGTCAGATTTTAATACTCATTTTAGTTCTAAACCGAAATTGTAGCAGAGAAATACAGTCATTGAATCAATATTCAATTCAAGACCCCCATTAATCATACTACAATACCAAATTTAAAACTTAAATAAGCTAACGATCAAATCGACAATTAAGCCCATAACATTATTTTGTATATAAATGTTGTCTATATGTCTTTAGGCATGCATAGACACATTCAGAGACAAACCAAACAAAACAATGAGGAAATTTTATTATTAAATGTAAGCAAGTACAATATGCAACTAAATAAGGTCTCTAGAAAAACCCATCTTCAAAACATGTTCTTCGAAAATCTTAGGAGGGAGCTCTTTAGTCATCGGATCCGCAAGCATATTCTTAGTACTTATATGCTCAATACAAAGTTTATTTTCCTCAACTCGCTCACGTACGAACAAGTACTTTGTATCAAGATATAAAGTAGCGCCAGTCGAACTGTTACTGTTCGAGAAACTAACGGCGGCTGAGTTATCACAATAAAGCTTCAATGGTCGAGAGATAGAATTAACTACTTTGAGTCCAGTGATGAGGTTTCTGAGCAACATCCCATGACAGGTTGCGTTGTACACCGCAATGTATTCTGCCATCATTGTAGAAGTTGCAGTCAACTCTTGCTTATGACTCTTCCACGAGATAGGCCCGCCAGCTAACATAAAGATATACCCTGAAGTGGATTTCTTATCATCTTTGCACTTAGCAAAATCAGAATCAGAATAACCAACCACTTCTAAATTATCACTCCTTCTGTAAGTCAGTTTATAGTCTTTTGTCCCTTGTAGATATCGAAGAACTTTCTTAGCTGCTTTCCAGTGATCAAGACCAGGATTAGTCTGATAACGACCCAACATTCCAGCAATGTAAGCGATATCTGGACGAGTACAGACTTGTGCATACATAAGGCTTCCTACTACTGACGCATAAGGTATCATTCTCATCTGTTCCTTTTCAACCTCTGTTTTCGGACATTGAAATAAACCAAAAACATCTCCCTTAACTACTGGAGCCACAGAAGGAGAGCAATGTTGCATGTTATAGCGTGTAAGGACACGCTCAATGTAAGCCTTTTGAGATAATCCCAAAATACCATTGACTCTATCTCGGTGTATTTCGATGCCAATAACATAAGAAGCCTCTCCGAGATCTTTCATGTCAAAGTTACGCGAGAGTAAGCGCTTGGACTCATGCAACATGTCTAAACTATTACTTGCCAATAGAATGTCATCTACGTAAAGGACAAGTATAGTAAAGTTTCTCCCACTCATCTAAGTGCTCTTGACCTTCAGACTTGAATCCTTCGGGTTGTTTCATGAACACTGTAACGACCCAAAAACCGGCTTAGTAGTTAGCCGTTATTTTAATAAAAATAAATATAATATTTATTCACTCTAAAATATGAATTATTTGTAAAGTTGTCCGTTTTGTATGAAAATTGGGTTTTCGGATAGATCTCGTAAAATGGTTACCAACGGTATATAGTTTGTTAAATTCGGATATACGTATAAAGCGTGGTGAGTAAAATAGACGTTTCAGTTCAACAAATAAATGTAAAGATTTTATAATATAATAATAATATATTAAACTAATTCTAATCCTACACGTATAACAAAACTAGGCCTAGCTACTAAATAAATACTCTGTACGCCATATTATTCCTAATCTAAAAGGGAAACCAAGTAATATTAGCATCTATATAAATACGGGGTACCCACACGGCCAAGGAATTGTTACGGAGAACTCGTCACCAGACGCACCGACGAAGCCGGACGTCGCCAATGTTCCTCGCTGACCGCTGCTGCTGTGCTCACCGGAAAAACAGCTCGGCCACTACGCGGTGTTCGCCGCCGCTGCTCCGTGGTCAAGTCACCGTTCGCCGACGTTTCGTTCGTTTGATTTGATTAATTTAATCCGTCTGTTAATCGAGGTCAGAACTTGCACATCTAACGCTAGATTATGTATATAGATTTGAAATTCACGTTCGTAGTTTCGTATGATTGATTACGTGGTTTATTTGTTTATAATTGAATTGTGATTTATTTATATGTTATGATAATATTGGAATTGATTGAACGAGGATGACCAGGTATGTATTCTTACTCTAAATTGTGTGATTTGCATGACGGTAAGTGGAAGGTGGTTACACCCGCCACTAGGCCGCTAGTTGAGTTATATGATTGGTTATCTGATCATTGTTACCCGTCTTGTGTTAATTAAATGTAATCATGTTGTAATTTGGAAGTAAATAAGAAATAGAGATTTATGTTGGAATAAGTCTGAATGGTAGAGATGTTGTAAGTAAATGGCTAAGTTATCTAGAGGAACTCTAGGACTGCTTTAGTACAATTGTAAGTATAAATGTCAATAGATAGGATCAGCCCTGCGAATCTGATATCCGGCGGCTGCGGGTTAAAACGTACGTACGGGATCCAAGAACTGTCGTTCCGAAGGGGACAGGGGTACCACCCACCCAGCGGAGAACTCCTTCGTTGGTCATCAGGTTGTGTTGTGTCATAAGGTATTGAATAAGGTAGACTTGAGTCATGGCCGTAGGTAGTGACTCTAAGTCCGAACATAAGGTTGTAAATATGGAAGTATGAACTTAGTCTGGTAATTATGTTATGAGCTATGAATAAAGAGGAAATGAGGTTATGATTTGTGACTTGTGAATTTATTTAATGACTGCTATGTTTTATTATAGTATACTTATGTGCATGATATTGTATGGAATTATGAGCTAGTGGGTTCGTCTATGTGCGTAGTCGAACGTTAGACAGATTCCACTCAGCTTCAATTCTGAGCGTGTAGCCCTTTTTCCTATTTGCTACACGTAGGTAACAGGAACGATGAATAATGAGACAGTCCTGGAGGCAGCGAGGGCGAAGAGATAGATGGATGCTAGCTGGAGGGGTTATCTAATTTAATATTTAAGTTTGAATTATTATATTCTTAAGGGCAAGAACCCAAAGTTGTATTTTGATCAAGTACTTAAAGGCTTCCGCACCGTTTTATTAACTCTGATGAATGTTTTAAATATTGTTTTGAATTAAATGTTTTAAATTGTTTTGAAAATTAGTGTGTCTAAATACCAATCTAGTAGCAACCCGATCCGCTGGTCCTCGTATTCGGGTCACGCGGGTTGGAGTGTTACACTTCTTCATCTAAATCGCCATTAAGGAAAGCAGTTTTGACATCCATCTGATGTAGCTCTAAGTCAAAATGAGCTACAAGGGCCATAACAATCCTTAAGGAATCCTTTCGAGAGATAGGAGAAAAGGTCTCTTGATAGTCAATTCCCTCTTTCTGAGTGTAGCCCTTTGCAACCAATCTCGCTTTGTAGCGTTCAATGTTTCCATTCGGGTCTAGTTTTGTTTTGAAGACCCATTTACATCCTACGGGTTTTACACCGTTGGGTAATTCAACAAAATCCCAAACATCATTTTTCTTCATGGAGTCAAGCTCTTCAATCATGGCTTTATTCCATTCAGAAGACTGATCACTATTAATGGCTTCATTATAAGAGCTAGGATCAGTAAACTTTCCAGCATCCATTTCTGCTTCAGTCAGGTAGGTAGCATAATCATCAAAGTTAGTAGGCCTTTTAGACCTAGATGACCTCCTGAGCAAATTTTCGGATCGAGCATTGGCGGCATTGTCATGATGGTGATCATTTGAGGTGTCTTCATTTCCAGGTACATTTGGAATAGGAGGAGGTGCAGTGTCCTGCGGATTGGCATTAAGTACAAGAGGAGTAATTTGAGGTCAAGTAATCGACAAGTCTCTCCCCCCCACGTCTTGTACTTCTAGCAATTCATCATAAGGGTTTTCACTGCTCCCACTGACCTCAAAATCTTCAAGGAAATGAGCATCTTTGGTTTCTACAATGCGAGTGACGTGGGAAGTACAATAAAATCTGTAACCCTTTGAATGAGAAGGATAACCAATGAAGTAGCAAGTTACAGTTTTCATGTCGAGTTTCTTCAAGAAGGGATTATAAAGTTTAGCTTCGGCAAAACAACCCCATACTTTCATATATCTTAGACTCGGTTTCCTTCCTGTCCAGAGTTCATAAGGAGTTTTAGGGACAACTTTAGAAGGAACCCTATTGAGTATATGAACGGCTGTTTTTAAGGCCTCGGTCCAGAGAAATAGAGGTAAACCTGAGTTGGCTAACATACTGCGTACCATGTCCATTAGGGTCTTATTTCTTCTCTCAGCAACACCGTTTTGCTGAGGAGTACCGGGCATGGTATATTTGTAACACCCTAATCTGTCCAGGTCTGCAGCCCCTTTCAGATTAAAGTATTAACTTGGTAATCGTAAAAATTTAAAACATTTCAAACACTTTTATTTATCACAATAATATTTTTCATAATATAAACAGTCTTCAGGAAGCTTAACAATATTGCGGAAGCTTAACAATCATAATCACAAACATAATTTATTTATGTTCTTTAATTCAAAACCATCACATCCATTCCGACAATCTCGCCTCCGTCTGCCTCCAGGATCACGTCACTTCATTAACCTGCGTGTAGCAAATAAAACATACTACACGCTCAGCGTTGAAGCTGAGTAAGCATATCTAATGCATCGAACATCCATATAAACTGAATCTAAATTCATAATCAAATCATTTGATATCATGCACATAATGTTCAGTTCAGATAATCAATAATTATTAAAAATTATTCATCATGCATTATTCAACATTTATATTCACATTCAATGTTCATCAGTCATTCATAATAATTG